CCTAAGAACTTTCAAATAACTTTTCAGGGAACAAGACCATACTTCACCAATATATTATAACAGGAGTACCCTTCTTTTACTTTTACTAGCACTGAATTTTTTGAACACTTATACCTTGGGTACAAGTACACATCAGAACATTGCAAGATTGGGACCTCTTTTACAAAATACGAATACTTCAGAATGCATAGAACTTTGATGTATTTGCTTTAATATCATTTTTTGAAACCCAAAAGTTCAAAGCTGACTCTTTCAGTCCGTTTTTCTTGAGAAGTTGCATGAAATACAGGTGGCAGAGGCAGTTATGCACACAACTGTAGTAGCTATCATCAAAACACGCATCTTCAAAGGGCACACTGTTGAAAACAAGTCCTAAAATGGGGTTGATGGCAGTAGAGGTGGGTGCAGTGTTTTTTACTAGCATTGGACTTGCCTACATGAACCACAGATGGCATGTATGACTTTTGCACATGTCTTATGTGACAAAAGAATGGCATCTGAGATTGCATGAGGGCCATACCTAAACATTTTGCTGCACCCCATCCCAGTGTCAAGTTACACCATCCCCAAGGGAGGCCATGATATTTTGGCATTCAAGGCAGAAAACCCCACATGCCTCTCTCCCTACCCGGCAATAAAAATGCACTAATAATTTAAAAAAATCCACACTTTCCTTCTTTTTAATGACACTCAAAATCAGCTGCCTGAGGTAGCCCCACTTCACTCTGCATAACAGTACGGCCGGTTTTACTACAATTTCTTCATGAATATGCTGGAACCATCTCGAATAGCCTGACCCAGGGCAGCCTCCAAAAAGAATCAAATGCTAGCTACTCACAACAATAAATGCAAAATCATTACAGCAAAATGCTATTGCTATCAGCAACATGTGTGTAATGCTAGGGAAAGCAGAAGACAGAAGAAGAGGAAGGCCAAGAATGAGAGGAATCACTTCCATAGAAGAAGCCACTTCCTTAGGTTTCCAAGAAATGAGCAGAGCTGTCAAGGGCAGAACATTTTGAAGGGCACTCATTCATAATGTTGTTATAAGTCAGGGATGACTTGATAGTATGTAACAACAACAACAATGGCAAAACATTTTCACAAAAAAAGTTATGGGTGAATATGTTGTTAATCACCACAATGAAATTGACTGAACAACTCTGCTAAGCAACTTGATGCAGGGGAAAACATTTTCCATTGCAAGAATGCTTCTTCTGTTTTCTTAGCAAAGACCACTGTGTTCATAAATCTGGAACTGGATTGGTGAAATGTACGTCCCGAAACATATCTAGCACAACCAACACTGCATTGGTTTCAAAAATTAGTTTGCTTTCTCTTTTGAACAGAAACTTTTTGCATGAAAAGTTGCTTGCTGCATCTTGCTCCTAAATAATTTTCATCTCAAAGTGAACTGAAAAATGCCTGAGGTTTCATTTCTCCCCATGAAGAGAAATCAGTGTAAGTCATGCTGGATCGCCACTTCTACTTTGAGTTGCCACCTGGCTATTTTTTGACCAGTAGAATGACAGGCCTTGGTTTTAGTAGTCTGCCTTCATGATCTCCCCCGACCCCTGCTTAAAAAAAGAAGGAAAATCAAAAAATGGCTATTGTTCATTTCCACATATTTATGTGCCTGCATTGCATGATATATTCATTATTAATAAAAAAGTCAGACCAGTTTAAAATCTGTGTGCATACATTTTACTGTATTCTTTCCTATCCTCTGCCAATAACTGAGACGTTTTCACCAAAAAGTTCTCTTCCAAAGGACAAAATGACAGTATTAAAAGGCTTTGCTAACCAATTCACAGAAGATATTTGATTACCTCTCTGCAAATGATGATCAAAGCTATATTAGCCAGATGATGATGTACCAAAGATCTACTCCCAAAGAGCTGATCCTTATCAAAAGTAAGGGATATAATTTTCATGAAGGAACAGACTAATTAGAAACTACCAGCTCTAGGTCTCAAAAAAGAGAAGAATCTGTTGAAGTCTTGTCCCCTATTGTTAATGTAGATTGCAATAATCTCCATATTACTATGTAGAAAAATGCATTTTTCTTGTATTACTTATTGATGAAGCTATTCCATATTTTTACCTTTCTCCTTAAGTTATAGACTGTCATGAATCCTGGCCTAGGATCATATTTTATTTATTTATTTCATGTCTTTACCACCCAATAACAGAAGCTCTCTGGGAGGTTTACCACAGCTCATAAAACAGAATATAGATGTTATGGATTCAGGAAAACATTTTCTCTTTCTAAATGGTTCATTTATTTCAGTACTTGTATCTTACCTGCTGTATTTGCAAAGATTTTTATTTTTATTTTAAAATTAAGCTTATAAATAATGGTAGCCTGAGAAAAAAGCAAGCACTTCTGTTGGATATATTTGATGCTACAATATTCTGTTGGGCATATTTGATACCACAATGGGTATTATCTTCCCATGTACAGCCACAGAGTACAGATGCAAGAAGAGATCTTTTACTTATTCCAGTACATGCATGCAGAATAGCAAGCTGTTATGGAAAATAAGAAGCCTGTATGCACCTCCATATAGCCATCTGGCCCCGCCCCACCCCACCCCAGTCCATTCAATCTAGTAACTTGAGCATCTAGATTCATTCAGTTAGTATGCTGACAGGTAGGGGCCATATAGGAATATGAAAGGTGTGCACAGGCCTTCCCTGGATGCATACAGCTGGATGCAAGTTGCAAAGAAGGCTCTCTTAAACCTCGTGTGGGGTATTCCTGTGGCAACTGAGGAGGGAAGGATGTTATTTATTTAAAAAACTTATATCCCGTCTTATACCAAAACAAGTCTCGAGACAGCTCACAATGGTAGCAGCACAATTAGAATACAATAGAAACATGTGATAAATTAATAACTTTAACATATCATCAAACCTTAAAATACTGGGTAAATAATAAAGGTTTTGACCTGGTGCTGAAATGAATAAAGCATTGGTGCCAGGTGCACCTCTCTGGAGAGCAGGTCCCAAAGCCGGGGCACTGCCACAAAAAAGGCCCTTCTCCAGGTAGCTACTCTTCTAATTTCTTTCAAACAGGGCTCCTGAAGAAGAACCTCAGTGAAAGATCTCAAGGCTCAGGCAGGTATACATGGAAGGAGATGCTCCTTCAGATAACCTGACCCTAAACTGTTTATCCAGATACTTCAAAGTATATCCAGTATAACCAGATATTTGAAAAAATATGTTCACAGTTGTGCAATGTATTGGTCATGTGGTCTTGAAGTTAAAATAAATTAATCTCTTCTTAATACTTCCTGCCTGATGCCTCCTTTGTCCTGGAGATTGGAGAGCTTTCCACTTCAAATACCATATTGCATTCTATTGTACATTTTTATAAGTAACACAACTGCCAAGCTAAGCTGAGTGGGTTTAACATATTCACATTTGAAGAGACTGTACACACACACTGTCAGGAAAAGCAAAAATTATTGAAATCATAACATGAGTAGAGCATACTAACTTTGTATATATCTCCCAAAAGCATACAGCTGTTGAAACAATATTTCACAGGCAAATCAGGCACTTGTATATAATTTCATTTATATACTGCCCAATAGGCAAAGCTCTCTGAGTTTCTCAATAGAAGTGTCAATCAGCTCACCTATGCAAGGCTGTTCGTGTTAGCATCCAGCAACCATTTCATGAATAGCCTACTGCTTACAACCCCTTCCCGCTATGTGTAGATATATCTCGAATTTAGCGTAATACATCATACATTTTCATACATCTTACAATTACAATAAAGAAGCACTAAAGGGTGGTCAATTTGCAGTTTTATCGCAAGATCCAGACAACCTCTCAGTGTTAACCTGTGAATTCCCTTGAATATGGGTGGGTTATTTCATATTTTATTGTTGCTCAAATCTATCTTGATCATGAAAGTAGAACAATAAAGGCCAACTCCATTGGTTAGGGTTTTTTTTTTTTAAGATTCTAACCCTCACAATGAGAAAGTAAGCTGAATAAAGTACAACCATAGCAAACTGTAACCTTTTGGAAGCAGAAGTTCAAATAAACCAAAGTTAATTGCTTCATTTAAAAATAATTAGGTGCTGTCTAGGTTAAGTCGTAACAGCACAATCCTGGGCTTATTTGCTCAGACTTGAGTCCTACTATTTGCTGTTTCTTCTGAGAAAAGTATGGATTGCAGTTACAGAGATTCTGAGTATTTCCCAATGTTTGCATCCTAGAAATATAAACTGTTAGCACATAAGAAAGTGTACCTACTTTTGCGTAAGTAAGTAAATACTGAATCAGTTGGCAAGTCCTCCTATGACCTCTGGGCCTTACTCCAATGTAAATTATAATAGCCTAAATTTGTGCATCCTATCTGTATATTGACATACACAGACAAACCATTTTGCTTCCTTATTCTCCAAGAAAGAAATTGATCGATATGTTGCGCATTCAACACAGTGCACCATCACCAAATTAGTTTTTGATAAGAAAGCATCTGCCTTGAATGCAAAGAGTCCTTACAGCTCAGAACAGCAGCAGTGATACCCAAAGGGTAGCAGTCACAGTTCTCAGGTGGGCAACCTGGGCTCCTTATATAGCCCAATGGTCATGGGTAAGACAGCCCTGCACTGGGGTGCAGGGCCAGAGCAGAAAATTAGCAGGTGGGCAGCAACGGCAGGGAGACCCCTGTACATTGTCTGTGTATGTAAATACTCATAGACTTGAAAGTGGGTCTTACAAGGCAAGGATGTGAGGCCTCCGAATACAGGGCTTGTGGACTGTCTGTTCTGCCAGCTCCGCTCCTCACCAGCCTAAATAAAACCTATTTGTTAGATCCTTATAGTTCGGATCCTTGGGTAGCTGTAACTGGAAGGCCACACATGGCCGAAGCCTACACAGACACTCCCCTCCTAATACAGGGAGCCGGCAGGCTATTCAGCAAAGGTATTCTCATGCCTCCATTTCAAAAAGTTTTAAAACAGTTTCCTATCCAGTCTTACCTGCAACTGGCAGCAACGCCTGCAGAACGGCAGCGAGAAGTATTCCTCTCCACTTCATCGTACTCCCCCCACCCAAGGTTGCAGGGCAGTCCGGGAGGCTGGAGGCTGCAATGTAGCAGACAGTGGGACAATGAAGAGAAAAGTCAGGACTTGCTGCTTCTCACTGCCTACACAGGAAGTGCAAAGCCCTTTAGAGTTTTCAGAATCCACCTGCTGGCAATGTGGTTGAAACACCCTCCTGCTGCTCTACAATCAGAAAGCTTCAGAGCATCAGGTTTTACAGAATACGTGTATGTCTACCTTTGTGGCTGTCTACATTTTCCCATACTGATAGGGAGAAGGGCCTTGCCTTTTTTAGTTAAGGAGGTTTAAAAATGGAGCTGATCATAAGCAGCTCACCTAGCTAAAATCACTGGTTTGCTTGTTTTGCAAGACCTTGTACTGTATATATGCTTTAAGTAATTGGTGAGGTGTTGAACGGCTTTCTAAAATAAACCTGCAACTTCCTCTTAGACTACTGTAGTGCTTTCTGGGTGGGGCTGCTCTTGGGCCTGATCCAGAAGCTGCAGCTAGTGCAGAATGCAGGTGCCAGATGCTCCCTGGGACACCCAGCTAGGCCCATATGCTATGCACTGAATTCCTATTAGCTGTGGAGCTGTGGTTTCTTAAATGCCCTAAACAGCTTGGGGCCAGGATACTCTGCTGACATTTAAGATGATCAGCAGAGCCCTGGCTGGTCAGTTCGACATTAATGGCATGTTAATGTCAGTTGGTGCCTTCTCTCTGGAAAACACCCCCCTGTGTAATTTATTCTTTTTGGCTGGGAGGGGGGAAATACTGTAGCATGCTTCAAATGCTTCCTGAAGACATACCTGTTCACCCAGGCTTTCTTGGCTTATAATTAAATTAGTCCTCTTGTTCTACATTTTACACTCATGTATTACTCTGTATTCTTGTAATTGAAATGGTTTTTAATATTGCATATTACTGCATTTTAAATGTGATTTTAATGTTTGTATATGAACCACTTAGGATATAGCAACAAATATCACCATATATACATAAATACATTTCTCAGAGGTGACTTTTAAGATATTAGTTACAGAGCCTTAACCAAGGGTGTTGAATGTTTAGTTTATGGAATTAATTCTGTTTGCAAAGGGGAATTTTCCTGGGTTTTCAAGGGTGCTTGCAGTGCCATGCAGAATACATTGTGCAGCTATTCCATCTTTTTCTTTCGTAGATTTTCTGCAGTAAGAAATAAGATGGGGGTTACTAGTAGAAAGTGATAGTGACTGCTCCTTGTATTGTAAACTGTTTATGAATGAGGGAGGGAGACGGCACAAAGCTGAGATGCAGGGAGGTTCTCCCTCCACTTCCTGCCACTTATCCCTTCTGATTTCAGCCTCCACAGCCAAAGCCTGTAGTGCCAACTGTAGCTTCTTACCACATTTCTTGGGATTTCCCAGTGCTAGTATAATGTTTTGGTGGACCCTGAGTGGGTTTCATTCTCTTCATCACCACTCATGCCGCCTGCTTGTTTACCAGTGTGAGCAAACAGGTGGCAACAGTCTGGGCAAGTGAGCAAGTGGAGTGACTGATACAATGAGGTGGCAGTGGTTCAGCAGGCTCCCAGCCACACGATTTTACAAGGCCAAGACTTGTGTAGGTCTCAATGGATGACAGACCATGTAGTTCCGGGCATTATATAGCACCATCTTGTGTTTGCATAATGAAACATACTGAAAGACAAAGAAGAGAATGTGGGGAGAATACATGTAAGGAAACCAATCTTAATTGTTCAAATAATCTGGAAGCAGAAGCCTTGGTAATATGATAGCCTGGAAGCCTCATCCAGAAAACTGCTAAATCAATTCACAAGATTTCAAACAACCGAACAGAATATCCTTTTAAACACTAGACAATGTCAGCTAATTACTCATGGGGTTGTGATAAATAATCAGTAGCTATTACACTTTTTCAAGTGTTAGTTGTGCACCACTCAGAGGGGAAGTGGGAAAGTACATTCAGCCGAGCAGTTCATATATTAGAAGTTATCCTTGATCAGCATTATGGGAAAACTTTATTTATAACCTGCCTTTTTTCTTGCAAGGAACCCAAGGTAGCTTATGTGATTCTCCTCCTCTCCACTTTTTCCTCACAACCACTCTGTGAGGTGGACTACGCTGAAAGAGCATGACTGGTTCACAGTCTTTCAGTTAGTGTTATGGCTGAGTCCTGGTTCCATGCTCCATAGTGGCTCTCATGAAAGATGGATAACATCAGAGTAGGAGGAATTATATTATTCTGAATATAAAAGCATAGTTCTCAGTACAAGTTCTCCCTGAGATCAAATAAAAAACTCAGCTGCCACTTTGTTTTCAGAATATATTTAATAGAGGTGTATGTAGACACTCAGTGGGCACAATCCAACCCCAGTTTAAGCATGCTTAAGTGCTTTGCTTTCAATAGACTTAGCATATCTCACTGTGGCTCAAATATTGGTCAAACCCTTTAACTATGGATTGCAGTTCTACACAGGTTTTGAAATGAAAACAGTCAAAGAATCGGCACTATTCACAGAGAACATTTAGAAAAGATTATTTTTAAGACTTAACCTATAGTTGTCCCTGCCATGCAGCAGGACAGAGCGGAACATAGGATTTGACATCTGAATGGTGCAGTGAGACTTTTTAAATGGTTGCCTCTAGCGAGCAGAACTGAAGGGTTTCACTATTTGGTCTATATTTCAGGCAACAAGATGTCTTAAGCTAGCACTGATTTAAACTGCCCTTTGTGCAGTTCCCCTTCCCCAGCCACTCCATATCATTAATTTCCTTATATATTTTCTACCCAATTATATATATTTTTAGAACATGCATGCATTCAGATCAATTAACACATGCTATTGCCTCTTGTAGTGAGTGGAAAAGCTGTCACTGATTTGCATGGCAAGTCATTTAAATGCATGTATTACTGTAAACTGTCCCAATGAAACATCCTATGCTGAGCTAAGGGGAAAACATGTGTCACTCATCACAGAAAAAACAATCAATCTTAAGCATAAACCTGGCTGACATGGAAACAAGCAAAGGCAATTTTCTCTTCTCTGCAGGGTGACCATATTCCAGATCTGTTCTTTTAAGAGTGACAAGGGACACAAATCTCTCACCAGAGACTTCTCCCATTGCAGTGTTGCAGCAACAAGAGAACTGCGCCTGCTGATTGGTGTTCCTCTTTGTGAAATGAAATGTCCCACCCATTTTGAAATATATCCATTTTGGGCTTCTGAGACAACCACTGCATTATCATACCTAAGACAACAGCATGGTGCGAGGGGAGTTTTGGACTTGGGACCTGGGAGAACTGACCTCTAGTCCTCAGTCGGCCATGAAGCGCACTGGGTGACTTTTAGCCAGTCACTTGCTCGCAGTGCATCTACCTCACAGGTAGCTGATGTGAGGATAAGTTGGAGCTAGGTAAGCCATCTTGTGGGTTCCTCACAAGATGAAAAAAAGGAGTGATATAAATGCAATATGGTAATAATAATGGGTAGTATCCAATGAAATAGAAAAGCAGCAGTGCCTACAGCAATCAGAAATGAGTGAAATGGTCCTTTTCCTTTCAAAGGGGAACGATACTGACCTGTCCATTCAAGATGAAAATGTTTGCTCTTTTCTGGCACTGCTGCACAATGCATTACTTCCTGTGCAGAACCTTTGGATCTTGCTTGTGCTGCAGAACCAGCGCGAGTGTGGTGGCAGAGTTATATACTGCTCAAGAAAGGAGAGGAGGAAGAGGAGAAGCTATCACTAAGGTTTGTGGGTCACTGTGTATGTGTACCATTTTAAAATATGTCATTAATTTAGAGAAAGAGTGTAAAAACAGAAGGCAACAAATAAAAATTGAACCAAAAATCTACTCTAATCATACAGCATAGTTTGGGTGGCCATGTACAAATTGCCCCCAAAAAGAGGAAATACATCACCAAAAAAAAAAAAAAAAAACAGGAGTTTGCCAAAAAACCACATACAAAAAGATATATATATATATAGACATCAATTTAGAAATAATTGTTTTATTAGAAAACAGTGCATCTCATCAAGCCATGGAAAGTGGCAACCAGGAGACCTGCTGTCCTGGTGCTAACTGGTGGAAGGCAACAGTTCTTATTGGGCATTATCTTTAAACTGGAATTGAACAGGGCAGCCTTCAAATAGAGGGCAGCCCACTGAGAATCCTTTGAACACAGGACTGCCCTCTGTAAACAAGGACACCTAGCCAGCCTAAATCCTCACAGTACTTCATAAAAGGCCTCAAAGCCCATGAGAATGAGTACACTGGTCTACAAGGAGAAAGCCTCAGAAATGAAAGTAGCTAAATTTTACCAGAACTGGGTCAGTAATAGAGGAAAATTAAGTCCTGAGTATTAATTGGCTCCAGTTTCCAAGATACAGCTTCATGTCAAAATTGCATCAAAATAATTCAAAATTTCAAGGGGGGGATCTGCGATTATGCTCCATAACTTTTCTGCAAAATGTGATATAGCAATGAGAATGGAGCCACACCAATCATTATACATTTACCTTTTTATTGATACCAATAACATAACTTTCCATTCATTTATACTGAACTAGATCTTTTTGGTGATCATGGGAAATGGAGATTCTGACATCACTCTGCAAGAGGTACCACTGTTGTAATCTGGAGCCCAGTAGCTCTGCCTTACTCTTAGGCAATTCCAAATCCCTGGCCAGATCATTTAGTTCACTCTGTGAAATTAGATGTGGTTCAGGAGGAGCATGTGGTAGGCTAAAGTTCGGGTCCACTGACATCGACGGCCCCAGATCACCTGCATCCTGCTAGGATTCTGGTGGATCTGGAATTGGCAAGTCCTCACCATGGGGTACAGGATACAATGTGGATCGAATGCTTGGATGTTCCACGGTCCACTTCTTTCTTGAGATCCCTTTTGCAACTGGGGGAACCATGCAAAAATAGCAGTCACTACTGTGATCGGTGGGTTCCCTCCACACCACTGGGACTGCAAAAGGCATGGACTTTTTCTTCTTGTTTAGCCAGTGACACAGATAAGTTGCACATGTAATGCAACAATAATGAGGGGCCCAACTCTTGTCCTGACCCCCTATTTTGCATCCAAAATATAGGTGCTATGCCTTTTTTAGCACTGCCGTCATACTGCACTTTTGAGATGAAAATGTAACCTCACCACAAATGCAGCAGAAGTTATCTGCGTTGTTTACACAGTTTTGAGGCATCTTGACTTCTGAGGGAAAATATCATGCAACTGTTCCTTGGAAATGTTAGGCAATGACACATTCACAAGCCACCAGATGTAACTGTATGATGTGTAGATCTGACCAAGACAAATGTACCTTGCAAAAAAAGAACAATAAACAGATAATAATCTTTAGTCTCAAAGTGAAGATAAATTTATACTCATCCATGTGGTACCATTTTCATTATTCTACTCTACTTTGTCAAGAAGTTACAAGGCATCATGATCATCAGACACCTCCCTCCCTTGTAGGCAAATATATTCGCCTGTGCATAAATCTTTGTGAAATATCTTGAAAACTTTAGCCAACCAGCACCTTTATTACCTGTTTTATAATTCATCTAATCAAAATATACAAGAATTAGCATATTCTCTCAGAGGTAGATAATTTCCCAAAATTTGTAGACTAATGAATTGTAATTCTTAGATATGAATTGCTCCAGGCAGTGGTAAAATAGGTGTGCATAAAGAATGCATCAAATATTGTCTATTTACAGTCTGTTCATGTGCTTGTGCTGTTCAAAGGAAGTTTTATGGTGCTTACTCCAAAAGCAAGGTACATTACGTTGCACCCTTAAGAACATGGCCTTGTGTCAGCCAATGGCCCAAGCTTGCCATTCGTTTCTTATCATGCCTGCCTCATGTTATACAAGTAGAAGTGAAGTTGCTATCAAAAGAGTTGCTTTTTGTTACCATGTGCAAAGTACACAAAGCCACAAACCAGGAAAGCTGTATTAAGCAGACTTGCATATTCAACACTCAGGCTTGTAAAATCTCCATGTTCCCGGAAGAAGAGGGAGCCAAGAATAAACACAAGCATGTGCATTCAGTTGCATGTACTTGAGCTGAATTTCAGTAGTAGCTAAAGATCAAAAAATGGCAGTGGGGGCCGCACAGCTGCGGCAAAGGAGGGTCTTTGCTTTTGTAAAACATGGAGTATAGAGCAGCATCCATGGAGAAGCTTTTAAATGTTGCTTTATAAAAAGGGAGCAATCCATGAAGTATGCCATATTTTTATTGTCTAATTGTTGCGCACTGCCCAGATATATGCACTGCTATTTTTAATGTTAATACTTGGAAGACTGCCAAATTCCACATTCTTTTTTATCAGTTATGTGATAAGGGACAGCAGTTACGTTGCATATTGGATCTGTCCTTACGAAGAGGCACACTCCATTGACTTATAGTTGCAATAAGAAGTGTTAGGCCACAAGAGCCAAATTATCAGTGGTTGCTTACTGGATGTGTAGGTCATATAGGACAATAGGGGTTTTTTTCCTGCTATTGGAAAGGTCATGATTAGAATAGCAGGTCTTCACTACAAGATTAAATGAGCATTTTTATTCTTTTCTAGGTTTGCTATTCTTAACAGAACAATTTCCAATGTGAAATAATCAGAATTGGGCTGCATAGTATATCCTTGTGCTTTTGTTAAAGCAGCAGAAGAGTGAATGTAATGAGGTGCATCTTTGAAACTTAGCTCTGCTCAGATCAAAATAGCAACAATTTTGCTGTTGTCCTGTTTGAAATAATCAGTTATGTTGTATGAGACTGGGAAAATGATTCAAGTAAGAACTTATTTCTTTAAAGAAAGAATGCATTGAAAATGCACACTTACCAAATGTTCTCTCCTGTGCTTCAATCAATGACAAACAAGTTTGTATAATAATAATGACAGTAATAATGATAATAAGTTTAACATGCTTTTCAGGATGGATACTGTTTCTGCCCTTATTTGACCCCTTACTTGCACTTTTAGCTAGGATGTATGGGGGCGGGGGGGGGGAGGCGCAGAAGACTAAAAAAATCCCAAACCTCTAAAAAAGTGGAGTGGGGGGAGTTAACTCTACTGATGCTTCCTGTAGATTATTTTGTATGGGACTCTTGGCACTGGCAGTTTGGCATGGGTTCTATTAACTACTCCAAATTTTCTACTGAAGTTTTATCACTGTTTTAGTATGGTTCAAAAACTCTGTATGCAAATACTGTTAGGAAGTGGTTCTTGTTTAAAATCAGGGTTAGATCTCAGAGTAATTAACTATTGAGAATACAATTTTAAATAGCATATATTTACCTCTAAGCTATTATTTTAACAATCACTGAGTTTACATACTGGTATGAGTGGTTAAAATTAAATACCTTGTTTAGAGTTCAGACTCTATTCACATAGGCATCCTTGCTTGATTATCACATGGGTGTATTTGTTGCCCTCTTTTTCATATAGCATTTTAAATTTGTATTGCATGCTTTTTGTCATTAGGTGACACTATTGCATAGTGTAAACAAAAAGCAACAGTATTGAAGGAGGAGAGATCCCTTAGAAGAGTAAACTGTTCATTTTCTGCAGTAAGAACTTAGTTTACCCAAGCAGTCAAGCAAGTGCACAGAAGGTAGGTAAAGCTTACAGCTGCACAAATCAGCCTCATTAAATTATATGTACCTCCATTTTGTTTTGTCTTCCTTTCTGCAGAGTTTACATTTCTGTCTCATGGCATGGCTCTGAATATAAACATCCAAAGAATCATGTAGGTTCTAGACAGATCTGTGTATATCTTTAATTCTCTAATTTCATTTTATATAAGAACCATTCCTTGACTCTGGAAGGGCTGTACCCATAGGTCTGTATTAATAGTCTCAAGTCTATACATCCAGGGAAACATGCATATTTTCCTACCATACAATTTGGAAACCATTTTTCATATTCAGACAAGTTAGATATATTCCCTTCAGAAATATCTCAACATTTATTTATTTATATTGCAATTTATATAATCGCAATACAAAGGGCCTTTTTCCTACAAAGGGCTCAAGGCAGCTTACATCATCTCTCCTCCTCCATCTTATCCCCACAACACCCCTGTGAGGTATGTTGGGCTGCGAGTCTGTGGCAGGCCCAAAGTCACCCAGTTGGCTCCATGGCTGAGCAGGGACTAGAACCCAGATCCTCTGAGTCCCAGTCCCATGCTCTTAACCACTACACCACACTGGCTCTCACTGGCATTTCAGATTCTGGCCATCTAGAATTTCATTTGCTAAAGAAGTTGCACTTTCAAGCAGGTTTGTGCAGATCAAAGAATAGGAGCAAAAATTCAAGGCACAACTGTAATACGTCTACAGAGGAAAAAAGGAGGAAAGCAGCAGCAGCAATGAATAGAGTGCATACACAGGTGGTCCTCAATATAATATAGGAAGCTAATTCATTCTCAGAGTCAACCATTTAGGGTTTCAAGTGTCGCATAGTGTGCTTGCCTGGAGTAACAGCAACCACAGAGTTTTAAGTCTTAACAAGAAATAAATGAACAGTAACAAACAAGCCTACGTCAGAACCCCATTGCAGTTATAAATAACTCACGCATTGTTACCACAGACAGCTTATCCATAATCATCACTCACAGACTGCAGCTAAGAACAAGACAATTCTCTATGCAGAGAAGCTCTCCTGAGACCACTTAATATAAATAGGTCTGGCAGGCAAAATGAATAACTTCATCACCTGTGAGCAGGAGGAGGAGATGTGTAAAACTTGGGGGAATGCACTCTCCAAAAATCACCTGCAGAGCCTGGCTCATGCTTAGGCAAAAATGATCATATTTTAGTCCCAGGGAGCAAAATCAAAAGCTAATACTTAAAGCTGCTTTTAGAGATGCTCACACAAAGATAATGGGTGCTAAACAGCATGTTGCTCTGTACAGCAAGCAAGTTGGTAACCCTCAGTGGGGTACATAGCTGATTTGTTGTGTGGAAAGAGAGAACAATTCCATCCGTGGCACACAAACCAGTGATTTATATGGAGGAAATTTAACGGAACCACAGTCTCCAAATTGCTTTACTGTTCTACAATGTACATCTGCCCCTTACAGTGAAGTTTCACTCCGCTATAATTGGGTTCCACTGTGCTAATCTTCTGGAAATGCAGCAATTGCTAGCAAATAGATATTAATTGCTGCATGCCAAGGGGATTATCTCACCCCCACCCTGCACATTGACCAATGGGGGGGAAGAGAGAAAGGAAGAACAGGTAAATAGGAATCCTTGGCCCTATATTTTCCTGTAGGCATTTCTAGCCAAATAAAATAAAATCTTCTATAAACTTCCTTGTTTCTGTGAACAAACTGCAGCTATTTGAAGCATA